TCAACTTACCCTCTCCTTCTCTCTCTCTATAATTGAGGTTAATGAACCAACTACTGATTTTAACCAGCATACCCTCTCCTTCTCTCTCTGTATGTTGAGGTTAATGAACCAACTACTGATTTTAACCAGCTTACTCTCTCCTTCTCTCTCTCTGCCATTGAGGTTAATGAACCAACTACTGATTTTAACCAGCTTACCCTCTCCTTCTCTCTCTCTCTCTGCTATTGAGGTTAATGAACCAACTACTGATTTTAACTAGCTTACCCTTTCCTTCTCTCTCTCTATGTTGAGGTTAATGAACCAACTACTGATTTTAACCAGTTTACCCTCTCCTTCTCTCTCTCTCTCTGCTATTGAGGTTAATGAACCAACTACTGATTTTAACCAGCTTACCCTCTCCTTCTCTCTCTCTCTGCCATTGAGGTTAATGAACCAACTATTGATTTTAACCAGCATACCCTCTCCTCCTCTCTTTCTCTGCTATTGAGGTTAATGAACCAACTATTGATTTTAACCAGCTTACCCTCTCCTTCTCTCTCTCTCTCTGCTATTGAGGTTAATGAACCAACTACTGATTTTAACCAGCATACCCTCTTCTTCTCTCTCTCTATATGTTGAGATTAATGAACCAACTACTGATTTTAACTAGCTTACCCTTTCCTTCTCTCTCTGTATGTTGAGGTTAATGAACCAACTACTGATTTTAACCAGCATACCCTCTCCTTCTCTCTCTCTCTCTGCTATTGAGGTTAATGAACCAACTACTGATTTTAACTAGCTTACCCTTTCCTTCTCTCTTTGTATGTTGAGGTTAATGAACCAACTACTAAGAGACTGAACAACAGAAGACACAACATAGTGCAGTAGACCATGTAGGACTGACGGACCAACAAGCATCCAAATTGGAATAAGTCGATTAGTTCGTGGTTTTCGCCAACAGGTGAGCCGAAACAGCCCTTCCTTTAATGTGTCTAACACACCAGGTTTTTCACTGGCAATATCACTCTGAAAATATTAACAGTTAATCACTTGTATGGTAAGATACATTAAAAAAGTATGCACTGATAATTAAAGTTTTCATTTTAGACAGTGAAATGACACATCTTGACTGCCTCCTTTAATAACCGAGAAAAAAATATATGTGCATGAAATAAATATGTGAAAATCTGTTTATAATCCACTAATGCTTAATCACATACATTAATGCTCCATTATTTAGACAACAGCTGAGGTACCTGGCCTTTGTCCAGACTATGAACTTAAAAAAAAATGTTTGGGTGGATCCTATGATAAACAACACAAAAATCCTAACGTTCATACAATTTATTTATAACATAACATAATATTACAGTATTCATTATTACCTCACCAAAAGAACTCACGATATATATACTTAAAACATGGTATACACTGTGTGATGGTCAGGGTGACTTTGTATGAAGAAGTACCAGCAAAAGTAGTGGCAACAGGGGTGCTTTCCGTTACCCACTTTCAACACCCAGTTCTTAATGTCCTTCCACATTGTTTTACATTATTAATTATTTGACGATCATTGGCTACAGATGTGTTTTATGGGCCGAAGTTTTAAGGTCATGGGTCAAAGTAGGAAGTAGGTATAACTCATGAAACGGCTCTTCGTATCAGCCTTATGGTAGTTGTTGGACTAGAAACTTTATCTGAATATATGTATTATTGGAATGGTGATAGCCACTTTTTTCATTGCATTCCTTCTTAGAGAGTGCTAGTGCATTCTCTGAGATATAGATGACATTTGGGTGCCCCCCCCCCACTGTATGTTTCGTTATTGAAAGTTCAATAGTCATTTTTGATGTAAAGATGTGGCGCCATCTATGAATGTAGTTAACGTTAACTTGCATCAAAGATAGTAAATGTGCAATAACAGCAATAATGGGTGGTGGAGGGGGTTGTGAGCATGCCCCTTGTTCCAGACTATCATCCCACAAAGTTTGATTGAGATTGGACACACACACATATATATAGATTAATAACTGACTTGTTATAAATGTTTATCTGAAAACTACAAAGTAAGGCATATTTTTTAAAACCATAGATAATAACATGATTGAGTAAAACAGAAGTATTACCTAGCTAATAAATACTTTTATATTACAAAAAAATGTACATTTCACTTTGCTAATACATACCTGAACAGTTTCAACCAGACTGGCAGAATAAAATGGAGTAAGAACAGTATAAGTGATGCTGTAATAAAAAGAAAGTCCACGATAAAGATAAGTACATATAAGTATACATTGTTTCTGCGCTCCATCTACTAACACTGTTATCAGTATGGTCTATATCAAAGCAACCTAGGCACGGAAACACTCATCGGGATATCTGACATAGCACTACAGGTATAAACAAACATAACACAAATAATTGAACAAATACACAACACTTACTTGTGCACAGTTTAAAGATGGTGCGGCACCAACGTCAAAACACGTAGAGCTTTTTAGAGAAGTTTTTAAACTGTGTACAAATAAACACTGTGTTTTTATTTAAATGTTTTAAACAGTAATACACATGGACAGTTATTAACCAGTTACATCACATTATGTAAAATCTAACAAACCCAGTAACTGCTACTTTAATTGGTTAGTAAAATATAACTGGTTTATTTGTTCAGTGAAGAACATTAATAGGACAACTGGTAGGATACTCGTCAATAATGCATGTTTGTGGCAGCTAAAAAAAATTTCCGAGACAGACAAATTTTAAGTTAAATTTATTTTACACCGATATTTCTAAACAACATCAACTGTTTATTAAACTTATTAAATCTATATTATTTGATAAAAATATTAATGGAATATGGGCAAAATTTTATTCTTAAACATCACATAAAATATTTAAAATTCTTAATAAAAAAACATGAAATATACTTAAGGACATCCCAAGCCGTCACACAAGATTTATATCTTAAACAGTTCCCGTAACATACAACTCTTCTGAAGTAGAAAAGGAACATCTTTATAATACTCACCATTTTAAGGCTAAATGTTGAAATATGTGTTTTAAGGAGCTATACTGGTTTATTTCTCTGAAATTCAATAGAAAATTAAAAGAATTAGTTTCAATTTATTATCTACATCAATGATTCTGGTATTGTTCATAACTTTGTTTTTGCAAGCCATATTAAGTCATCTTTCCAAGCTTTAAGAAAGATTTTTTTATGAACAACATGGTTTTAACAACTGTTACTTTTTAAATACTTTTACAAAGTATGTATTTACATCTTTATAACATTTACAGAATTGAGGAAAAACAAAACAATTGTACGTTTCACAAACACATCATTTATTAATGATCATGGTTTTGCCAATAAAGGCATCATCACCTGGTCATCAATAAGTGATGTGTTTGTGAAACGTACAACTGTCTTGTTTTCCTCAATTCTGTAATTATGGAGTTTCACCAAGTACCGACGGTTTCAAGTGTCAATCTTATAAGATTTAAATATATCTAAAAGATTTCATTGTTCACTATAGAAACTGATAAAATACACATTACGATCTGAGAAATAATCACATTGGACTATCTGTGAAGAATCAAACCACGGATGTTAGCTTTATAAACTCACTTCTGAGCCACCAAAAGTTAAAGCATGACAGTCAAAAACAAATACATCTGAAAAGTGTCATGCGAGTGTTAAGTTTTCAACTATCAGGAAGATATAGAATTTATCTATAGGCAAATTGACAATGAATAGTTTATATTTTAAGTTACATTTATTAATATCTAAATTAATTCACAAAAAAATGAGTTAAAACACTTCTACAGTTATTTTATACCAGCCAACCTACATCTCAAGAGATAACTGTAAAACAACGCTTGGCAACACTAACATAACTAATAAAA